TATGGTGTGAGGTATGGGTCCTGTTTCATTTTTTTTTTTTTTTAACAGATGGACATCCAGTTTTGCCCCCACCATTTCTTAAAAAAGACTATTTTTTCTCCATTTAATGGATTTTGGGCCTTTGTCGACGATTACGTGACTGTGGGTGGGAGGATTTACATCTGTGTTCTCGACACTGTTCTGTTGGTCAATGTGTCTGTCATACCAGTACCAGACTATTTTGACTACCACAGCTGTATAGTAGGTTCTGAGGTCAGGTAGTGCAAGTCCTCCTTTATTCTTCTTCTTCAGTGGTGCTTTACTTATCCAGGGTCTCTTTCCTTTCCATATAAAATTAATGATTAGTTTTTCCATCTCATTAACGAATGCTGTTGGTATTTGTATCAAAATTGCATTTTATTTGTAGATTGCTTTGGGTACAACTGACATTTTCACAATGTTGAGTCTTCCTATCCATGAGCATGGTACGTTTTTCCATTTATGTAGGTCTCGTTTAGTTTCTTGCAATAGTGTTTTGTAGGGTTTTTTTTGTATAGGTCTTTTACGTTCCTGGTTAGATTTATTCCTAAGTATGTCATTTTTTTAGGGCTATTAGAAATGGTATTGTTTTCCTGATTTCCTTTTCACCGTTCTCTTTTTTGGTGTATAGGAATCCAACTGATTTTTGTATGTTTACCTTGTATCCTGCTACTGTGCTGAATCTATTAGTTCCAGCAGTGTTCTTGTGGAGTCCTTTGGGTTCTCTATGTATAGTATCATATCATCTGCAAATAGGGATAGTTTTACTTCTTCCTTACCAATTTGGATGCCCTTTATTTCTTTTTCTTGCCTTACTGCTCTAGCCAGGACTTCCAGCAGTGTTACATAGGAGTGGTGATAAAGTGCATCCTTGTCTTGTTCCTGTTCTCAGAGGGAATGTTTTCAGCCTCTCTTGGTTAAGAATGATGTTGGCTGTCAGTTTTGTATAGATTCAGTTTTAGTCACCTAGTGTTGCTATAACAGAAATATCAAAAGTGGATGGCTTTAACAAAAATATTTATTTTCTCACAGTCTAGTAGGCTAGAAGTCCAAATTCAGGGTGTTAGCTCCCGGAGAAGGCTTTCTCTGTCGGCTCTGGAGGAAGGTCCTTCTTATCAATCTTTCCCTGGACTAAGAGCTTCTCCGCGCAGGAACCCCAGGTCCAAAGGACACGCTCTGCTCCCAGCACTGCTTTCTTGGAGGTATGAGTCCCCAACTCTCTGCTTGCTTCCCTTTCATCTCTTGTAAGATAAAAGGTGGTGCAGGCCACACCCTAGGGAAATTCCCTTTATATTGGATCAGGGATGTGACCTGAGCAAGGGTGTTACATCCCACCCTAACCTTCTTCAACATAATCCAATCTTGCTTCATTAACCACGGGGATAGATTAGGATTTACAACACATAGGAAAATTACAATCATAAAATGATGACAACCACACAATACTGGGAATCAGGGCCTAACCAAGTTGACACATATTTTTTGAGGACACAATTCAATCCATGACAGATGCCCTTTATTATGTTGAGGAATTTCCCTTCTATACCTATTTTATTGTGAGTTTTTATCAGGAATTGGTGTTGGGCTTTATTGAATGCCTTTTCTGTATTGACTGAGATGATCATGTGATTCTTTTCCTTTGAATTTTTTATGTGGTGGGTTATGTTTATTGATTCTCTAATGTTGAACCATCCTTGCAAATCTGGTATGAGTCTCACTTGGTTGTGGTGTATTCATTTTTTTTTTTTTTAATATGATACTGAATTCCTTTGGCTAGAATTTTGTTGAGAAATTTTGAATCTATATTCATGAGCGATATTGGTTGTAATTTTCTTTTTTGTGGTGTCTTTGCCTGCGTTTTGGTATCAGGGTAATGCTGGCTTCATAGAATGAATTCAGAAGTACCCCTTCCTTTTCTGTGTTCTTATATAGTTTGAGTAGTACTGGTGCAAGCTCTTCCCTGAATGTTTGGTAGAATTCTCCAGTGAAGCCATGTGGGCCAGGTCTTCTTTTTGTTGGGAGTTTTTTTTTTTTAAATTACCTTTTCAATCTCTTCTCTTGTTATGGGTCTGTTCAGATTTTCAACCTCAGTTTGTGTTAGTTAAGTAGTGTGTTTCTAGAAATTTGTCCATTTCCTCTATGTTTTCAAATTTGTTGGAGTATAGTTTTTCACTGTACTGTTAAGATCCTTTTTATTTCAGTTAGGTCTGTTGTAATGCTCCCCATTTCATTTCCCATTTGGGTGGTTATGTGCATCTTCTCCTGTTTTTCTTTTGTCAGTTTGGCCAATGGTTTGTTGATTTTGTTGATCCTTTGAAAGAACCGGCTTTTGGTTTTGTTGATTCTATTGCTTTTCTATTCTCTATTTCATTTATTTCTGCTATAATCTTTATTATTTTCTTTCTTCTGGTGACTGTGGGCTTCTTTTGTTGTTCTCTATTTGTTCGAGTTGTGTAGCTAATGTTTTGATTGTGTCCCTTTCTTCTTTTTTGATGTGGCTATAAATTGACCTCTGAGCACTGCCTTTGCTGTGTCCCAAAGGCTTTGGTATGATGTGTTTTCGTTCTCGTTTGATTCTAGGAATTTTTTTGATTCCATCTTTAATTTCTTCTATTACCCAGTGGTTTTTAAGCAAGTTGTTATTCAGTTTCCATGTATTTGACTGATTTTTTTCTCCTTGCTCTTTCTGTTACTAGTTTCTACTTTCATGAGCTGTGATTAGAGAAAATACTTTGTATTATCCCAATGTTTGGGATTTTTCTGAGGGTTACTTTGTGGCCTCAGATGTGGTCTAGTCTGGAGAACGTTCCATATGTGTTGGAAAAGAATGTGCACTTTGCTGCCATTGGGTGGAGTGTTCTATATATGTCTATGAGGTCAAGTTGGTTGTTGTGGCCTTTAGATCTTCTGTATCTTTGTTGAGTTTCTTTCTAGATGTTCTGTCCTTTACGCAGAGTTGTGTCCTACTATTATTGTGGAACTGTCAATTTCTCTTTTCAGTGCTGTTGGAGTTGTATGTATTTTCGAGCCCTGTCACTAGGTGCGTATTTATTATGGTTATGTCCTCATGGTGGCTTGCCCCTTTAATCATTATATAATGTCCTTCCTTGTCTTCTTTATGGTGGATTGTGTTTTAAAGTCTATTTTATCTGAAATTAGTATTGCCACTCCTGCTGTTTATTGGTTGCTGTTTGCTTGATATATTTTTTCCATCCTTTGATTTTTAATGTTTTTTTCCTAAGGTGTGTCTCTTGTAGACAGCATATTGATGAGTCCTGTTTTTTAATCCATTCTATCACTCTCTGAGTACATTTAAGCTATTTACATTCAGTGTGATCATTGATAGGTGTTGAGTTTACTGCTGTCATTTTGCAGTGCTTTTTTTGTGTGTGTGTGCTGCTGTCGTTCTCTTTGTTCTGCTTCTGTTCTGAATTCCTTTTGTGGATTTTTTTTCGTTTCTTTGGTTTTTGTAGGTTTTGTTTACTGAGAATTTGTTTTTCATCTTTATTTTGATGGGTAGGTTAACTCTCTTTGTGGTTACTTTGAAATTTACCCCTATCTTCCTAAGTTTAAACCAGTCTTTCATTACCTGTTACCACCCTGACGTCCTCTTCATTTGAAAGTTCTGCACTTATACCATTTATTCCCTCTTTTATTGTCCTGACACTGTTGTCATTCGCAGATTGACCTCTCTGGCTCCCTGTTGTAAATCTTTTAGTTTTGTTTTATCCTTGAGAGTTCATTATGTAGGTTGTTATCTGGCTGATGCTATCTTGTGTCCTAGATTCAGGTTGTTGTCTGATGTTGTTGGTTCTGACCGAAGGATTCCCTTTAATAATTCTTGTAAGTTTCATCTGGTGAATTCTAAATTTTTTTTGTAATATTAGCACCTAAAGCCATAAATTTTCTTATATGCACTGCTTTACTGCATTTATACGAGTTTTGAATTGTTGCATTTTCAGATCACCATATTTTATAATTTCCTTTGTGATTTTTGACACATATTGTCTAATTTCCACTTATTTGATGGATTTTCCATTACATTTATTATTGATTTCTAGTTTCTTTTGTAGTCAGAGAAAACACTTGTTTGCAATTCTTTTGAGACTTGTTTTACGGCCCAGAATATGGTCTATCTTCATGAATGTCCCATGGGTACTTGGAAAAAAAAATTCTGCTGCTGGGTAGAGTATATTTTTGTTCACTGGAGCACAGAAGCTTGTTTCGGTGCACAGACCAAGTGCATATTTTGATTGTGTTAATATGCCATCTCAACAATCTTAAGAGATGACATCTGTTGTAAGCTTAAGCTTTCATATCAATTCAATCATATTTTAAATAGTACCCTTTTCAAGGCTAATTTTAACTTTGCACACAGGTTTGAAAAATCTCATGCCCACTCCCCTTTTCCCATCATCCTATACAATGAATATTGGTCTTACTGAAATTTATGACTGATAGCCTTGCAGACCAGGTTTGAATTAAAATGTAGACAATATAGGCTATTCTTACATGAGATGTGATATAGGCCAGTTAAGAGCATGGATCTTGGAGTCAGATAGGCCTATTCTGCTGATTACTATGTTTGTCTCCATGGGCACATGGTCTTTATTTGCACGTTTGAAGGCTTTTGTGAAAAGTAATTTTGATAACGGTAGTGAAGCATCTGTCCATGGCACAAGTAAGTAACATATGAAACTCAATTATTATTGCTGTCGTTGAGGAATACTAGCAAGGATCCACACATATTTTGATTTTCGAAATGTCTCAGATAATGCCTGACTTCCTTTATTGGCCATTTATCCATGTGAGCACCTAGGGATGTGGTGCTCTAGAAAGAGGTGGGTCCTGAAATAAAGAGCTTATTAAGCAATGAGGATTGGCCCTATTACTCCACAGTCCTTGAATGCCTGTGCCATGTGCCATGAGGTTAAACACCAAGGAAGAACCTAGAAATAAACTCTCAATAAATCAGAACAGTTAGACAATAGCAAAAGAAGATATCTTTTATTATGTGTCTATTATACCTATTGATTAATAGGACCTGCATAAGAAAATTAACTTACTGGAATCATTTAACATATATATTCAGGATTAGAAGCAAAAATAGTAGTGAAAACATAGTTGAGCTCTGTTAACATGCAAATTATTTTTTCATTCAACAGATATTTGAACCTACTTGTACCAGGCACTCTGTTGGCATTGGGGGATATAAGAGTGACTATGACAGACATGGTCTCAGTCCCTAGTGTGAGGAATATAAATGACAATGTAAGAGCTAAAATGAGGAATGTACAGGGTGCTATGGGAGCACACAGGAAAGGCAACTAAACCAGGCTTCTCTGAAGTGACCTGAAGGATTAGAAGTCACAGGATCAGGAGTGGGGGGTTAAGGGTTTCAGAAAGAAGGAACAACCTCTGAAGAGGCCTTAACTTCCTAGAAACATTTAGTCATCACAAGAAAATCTTCCGTTTTGTGCTGTTGGTGAATGTGTAATACATTTAGTTTGTTTTCCAAACTCAGCCCAAGACGAATTGAGTGCAGATGACAGCGCAATGTCCAATTTCAGAGATTATTTCAAAGAAAATCTTGATAATGATTAAAAGAATGACAGCAGGTCAGGCTTGTTGATGCATTTTATTGTGAGATGGGGGAGTCTGGTAAAAAACTAGAAAATGACCATGGCGTAACAAGGAACTTAAAAATGAAGAGTCAGATTTGTAACTTACATACATGAATACAGGAACAAATTGGCACAGAAATGTTAAACATTGTTCCCAACACTGTTTACATATGGTTATCCTAGTTTGGCTGACTAAGGAAATGAGAGTTTTATGGTTAGGCTATTTCTCTTAATAAAACTGCAGCGCATCATGCTATTAGTCACACAGTGAATTTCAAAATTGAAGAGTTTTATATTAAAAACTGGGTAAAGGTAAAATGACTTGATTGTAGTTGTAAAACTAATACATTCCCATTTAAATTCTGTTCTACAGTCCAAGGCAAGTATAAATGTTAACATAACACTGTTAAATCAAATCTCAATGCAAGAGAACCAATTGCATCTCTACTTTAAATCTTATCAACTTTCCAAATTTTCATACTAAAATATATTATTGTATTAATACAAACTACAGTATTATACACTACACTGTGTAATAAATAAAGAAATATAAAAATAAGACACATAAATATAAAAGTTTTCTAAAACTAAAAGTACATATGTCAGTAAGAAGGGTATTAATACTGCCAGGTTTGAAGACATACAGTACAAAAATGTTGCACAGATCTATAAACTAAAAGAAATAAAATAATACTGATAGGTAAAAATCAGCTAATGTTGTTAATAAATTGGGTCCATAATAACTAACATTTGGAAACAGTTATGAGCCAAATAAAAATGACGTGTCCATGTCTGAAATGCAAGTACATGGATAAAGCAGATTAGAAAATTTCCCTTTCATTTCTGTAGAGAAATTCTGAAAGTCAATTAACACAAAATGAATACTGAGGAATTAAAGGATGAAGTGTCCCAGTGTTTCGATTTCTCTGACAGAGTCAGTGGTTTTAACTTTTATTTTAGAATTTTGATACAACAAACAAATCGACAAATGCTAGTTATTGTAGGCCACACATTGAACAAAGGCGGGTTAGAACCTTGAAAATACTGATAAATGGCACTTACAGCACACAGGTCTTGCTTAAGGCCAAAGGAGATACAAAGCTTCATATCATATCCTTCATATTTGTTACCACGTACTCCAACACAATTACGAACACTGATTCTGACGACGCTGCTGTCCTCACCAGTATTAACACTGTTAGTCCCTGCAATCAGAACTCAATGACAATCCTCTGAACTACATCTTAAACCACATGAGTAAGAAACTTCAGTTCTTCTATCTGCTGCTTCTTAAGGCTAACAAATACACTTGAAATGATAATATGCTCCACTATGACATCTACATATTAGAAATTACTACCTTCTAGACTGACTTTATAAAAGGTAGTTAGCACGGTTTGGAACTGCATTATACTTCTCTGTGAAGGGAATTTTGTAGTGCAGAAGTTCTCACATTTTTAAAAACATAATAAAATACTGAAGTGGATTTAGCATATGTTTACCAATAAAAAATTATAAAATTTCTCCCAATTGTACAGCTCAAGAATAAACCAACAGAAGAGTGATAATTAATACTGATAAAATGAAACAATGCCAGATGCTTATCTAATTAATCAGTTTCCTGTTGAACCTTTGCTTTCTGAGTTACTCAAGTTTTCTAATCTGCTTCGTGTTACAAACTTGTTCCTAACTTTGAAAACTGCATGAAAAATTACTAGGTCTGAGGTTCAGGCACACCTGGATTTCTTTTTTTGTGGTTTTTTTTTTTTTTTTTGTATTTTGTTATTTTTTTTTTTTTTAATTTTTTACTTTACACAGTAGTGAACAGAAATCACAGCATACAGATTACTGTGTTTCCATGAAAAGCATGTATTATATAGAACAAACTCCATTACCAATGAGAATTGATGTTCCTTCTAGAAAACTCTTAGGCTTCATTTGTTTTCTCTTCAGACACTTGCTCACTATTCGCGTTCACTTTGTGTTCTACGCGGCTTGCCTGATGCACAGCGCCGTCATCCTTCACTGGACCTTCCGGTTCTGCTCCTTCTCCCTCATTCGCCGCCTCTTCCACCTCTTCTTCCTCCACCTCTTCTTCCTCCTCCTCTTCTTCCTCATCCCCTTGGGGTTTTTCACATTCTTTTTCTTCCTGCAGTTCTTCCATCTCTTTATCCTCCTCCTCATCTTCCTCTTTTTCACTGTCTTCATCCTCTTCCCGCGTCAAGCTCTCTCTCTCATCCGAGTCAGCCTGCGAAGGAGACGCCCGGGCCGCGGCGCGCTCGCTGGGGAGGCCCTCCGGCCCCGCCTCTTCCGGCTCGGCGCCGTCGCGCCCCTCCGCCTCTCTCTTGCAGTAGGAGTAGCGATGGTTCATGTGCTGCGAGTAAGACCCGGAGTGTGAGAAACGCTTTCCACATTTGTCGCACTGATAGGGCTTTTCTCCAGAGTGCAACCGCATGTGCTCGATCAAATGATGTTTGTGTTTAAACGCCTTTTTACAGATTCCACACTCATGAGGTCTTTTACCTGCAAAATAAGAACAAAGCTATGAAATAAAAGGATGGTATTTCTTAATATCCTTATACATAAGGCTTTTAGGGTGCTTCCGGTTGTGGAAAGGCCAGGGTTCTAAGTCCATTTCTTAAAAACTGCCCAGCTCTCCATCTACAAAGTCTCCACAGTACGATACAATAATACGGTTGGGCCCTTACAGGAGAAAGTTTGGTTTCTGTGCTTTTCTTTACAGATCGAAGGCCAAGAGGAACCACGTGAGATCTAGATGCCACAAATACAAGCGTCACGACAACAGGAAGAAAAGAGACAGCGACGCTCAAATGAGGTATTTGGCAGTGAACGCGGTGGGGGCAGGAAGCCTTAGAGCAGTGTTTCTCGCTGTTCTTCATTATGGCCTCCTCTCTCCCTTCTCGGCACAGGATCGGGCAGCGTTCCGCTCTGTGTGCGCACGGTCACTATGAGTCGGAACTGACTCGGCGGCATCTAACGACAAAAATAACAACTCTCCCGTCGAGGAACTTCTTTACACATTTTTTTCCCAGTCAAAATTTTAATGCATCATATATAATGTATATGTGGACGTACTGTGGTCCTCGGGAGAACCACAAACTACCGTATTATCTAAAGTTTTTGCCCCGAAAAACAACTTCTGCCCCTTAGAATGCATGGGCCAGAGAAACGCCGCCGTCCTAGCATTGACGGGACTGAGCGCAAGCTGACCACAAGCAGGGATGATGCCCAATTTCAGCGCCATCAGGCAGCCACACTAACAAACGCAGAAACGCTTTTCTTCTTTTAAGGGATAGGACATTCTTCATACAGACATTTTGGTATTTGCTAATATTTAACTGCTGTCCAAAGAAGGAAGAGATTTTTCTAATTCTGCTCAGATCTCAGTAAAAGCAACCAGAGGAATGTGTCACAAGGGGCTTATTTTGAGGCGCGACTCTCTCTTACCTAACCGAAGTTTTAATGCTAAGAACTGCCCAAACGTCACTGCAGGTATGTATCTACAGATTAAAGGGGGAAGGAAAACAGTTTTCTGTCCTTTCTCAAACAGTGAGAAATGCATTAAAATAGCTGACAAGAATATTAAGGGTAAACAGGGACAGTGTAGCCAAAATGGCTGAGGGTGGGGGCAGGGAAGAGAGGGTGGGGAGTTACAGAGCTGATGACAAGCCCAACCCCTCGCACAGAGACCCAGGCCGGACAGAAGCTGTGCTGTGCTGCAGCCAGCTCTTACTGCCTTGACAGAACCCATTGCTCCATTTTTCAGGAATTCTGCAAGCCACTGACCTCACCCCACAAGCTTGCAATCAGCCATGGCGGGAGTAGTTCCACCAAGGAAATCTGCAAACGCTGCAAATCAGGGTTTCCCCCACCCTCAGAGGGCCACCTGGTAAAATCTACCAGCGCACCATGGGACAGAATCAGTTAGACTAGGAGATGGCAAACGTCGTCCGTAGAGGGCCAGAGAATAAATGGCTTTGGCTTTGTAGGCCACGAAGTCTCTGTCACAACGACTCCACCCGGTTGCTGTACGAAAGCAGCTACTGACAATACGTAAATGAACGGGTGTGACTGTGTTTCAATAAAACTTTATTCATGGACATGAAAATTGGACTTTCACGGTCATAAATATTTTTCTTTTCCCCTCAATCATTTGAAAATGTAAAAACCATTCTCAGCTCACAGCTCACACAAAAACAGGTGGAGGCCCACATTTGGCCTGCAGGCCACAGTTTGCTGATCCCTGAGTCAGCCGAAGGAATCTATATTTTGTGGAAGAATTACAGACTCTCGGAGTTGGAAGCCATCTTAGAATCATCCACTTCAACCTCTGAGGCGGGACTTTTAAGCACCACAAAAGATCTGTCTAAAACCTTCAAGTGCCAAAGAACCTATGACTCATGAGGGCAGCAATCTGCACTCTTATTAGGCAGCTTTTTCTTTTATTAAGTCAGATCCTGTCTCTCTGTAACGTCAGCCAGTGGTCCCCTATTTTGGGGACTGCGTTTTTCTTAACATGGAGTAAGCGCACATTAGTCTTTTTCTTTACTCCTTGATAGCTATGATGCATATTTAAACTCTAAAGAAGACAGAAATAAGGGCAGACAGAATAACTGCTGTGCAAGCTTAAAGGAACCAGTCATTAAAGGTACAGACAAAACAACAACGTCAAAAACCCAAAACAAAAAATCCAAAAATTAGAAAAGAGACTAAAACACCACACAGCAGTGGAAAGAGAAGCGAAAGTGGCAAGATCAAAGGAGAGGAAAGCAAAACAAGTTTTAACTCTCATACAGGAACTTTTGCTTTTAATCTAGGATTTTTTCAGTATATCATATAGGAACTTCACAAAAGGACAAGATGTTTGTGTTCATCAACATACCTGTGTGTTCATACTTATGTCTTAGTAAAGAGCTACTCTTTTGGAATATCTTATCACACAAATCACAAGCATACATTCCGTTTTCTGTCTTCCGCATTTTCTTTTTGGGCGGTGTAGAATCGGAGTCATTCTGATCCTCCACATTTGATACTCCTTCTGAGCTAGTGTCTTGCCTCTCATCCTAAAGGAAAAAAAGAAGTAAGGAAATTTGATTTAAAATTAAAAGAGAAACACGATACACACATAAAAGTGTGGGTTAAAGAAATACTTTGATTTATACTTGCAACAACTTTGCCAAAGCAAGCATACTGCTCATCAAGGCAGATGTGATCCAAGGGTGGGGCTAGATGATGGGAGGGGGCTGATATCAGAAGTGAGGTTGGGAAAATATAGTCACAATTGTAGCAATAATATATGCTATCAGAAAGAATGGAGACCAAAAACAAAGAATTTGAACTGTGTAGTAACAAAATTTAAATTTACTTGGTTCCATATGAGAAATTTACAGAAAGTTTTAAATTAACTTATGAGTTTGCTAAATAACCAATAATTCTTAACTGCATCATTTTAGTTTCATTTTTTTTTTCCATTCTGGGTCTCACCAGGCAAAAATTAAGATTCTACTTATTAAAAGCGATCTTTAACTTGCATTCTGCAGAACTTTAGGGTTCTAGGAACTAACTTCCACGGTCATCTTAAAAACAACAATAACAACAAAAAACAACAGACATTTGCTCCACCGCTTTTCTAAGGCACAGAATGAAAACCATTTTTCAACAGAAACACTTGCTATTCAAGATGAATCTCTAGAATTTCAGTGCAATAAAAAATTGTAGGCAGTCCCAGGGAGATAATTTTGGGCAGAAGGGCTCCCTTGTAGGTAGAATAATCCTGTAGACAGTCTGCAGTGAAATTGGGTCACCTAAGAGACTGGAGCCTTTTCTAGAGTCTTCCATTCTATTGCCTCTAAACCCACAAAGGTTTTTCACAACCTCGCTTATGGCTCTGTAAGGGACCACAAGGGCTGCCATTCATGTAGGTCATCTGTGAGCTGCCAATGGGTGCTGAAGTAACTTGAGGGTACTTCCATTGTTATCTGATCTTGTCAGATGATTAGATGAAATGTTACTGGGGGGTATTTTACTACTCAAAGGCGTGCACCACATTCTACATACAAAAAACTTAGACGAATTCACTGTAAAACCATTTTCAAGGAAAACAACCAGTAGCTATATATAAGAAAAAAGCAGCAAATACACACTTGAGCAGGACATTGTAATTATTTTAGCTGCATCTACTCATAGAAAATACTTGCATAAGAGATGGTATTTATCTTTAGTATTCATTTGACTCAATCAAAAATTGATGGAAAAAAAATAAAAAGAAACAATAAGGTTAGTGACATATGGAAGAAGTCTGGGCTTATTTGGGAATTAAGACACACAACAGTCACACAAAACAGCTCTACCCCAAACTGCTTAAGCTAAAAATCACGGCATTTAAAGGAAACTTAAAAGAGAAAAATGTATATAGAAATCCACAGCCATATTTTCTCATATATATCAACGATGCCTGAATACTGCTTAATGTTTACAGCACGAGAAATGATTGGAAAATTCACTAGATGAGTTCTTTGTATATTTATTGTTTAATTAAAGCCTCTATAAACAGAGGTGTTAGCACATAAAAAGTGACAGCTAAGTCTCCTGGTGTGAAATGCTTGTGAATGGGAACATATTTCCTTTCATTAATGTTCATGATCAAGGCAGAAGCTATTTACTAATTTCAAGAATAGGACTATAAAAACATAAACCTAATTGGTGAATTTTCCAATTATTTTTCTGGTTCCAGTTTCATACAGTCAGGACTTTAGCTGAGGCTTATCAATCATTTTCACAGTAGAACAACACCTTCAACTTGAGTTGACAACTATTCCTTGGATTAATAGACAGTGAAGACATCGCGCCACAAAAATTAAAGCAAACACTGATATGTTTCCTTTTAAGGATGACAGTTTGTAACAACTTGCTTGGCCCTACAGTGGCTGGGTTTTATTAGAAAATGTTAACTGAAATAAGTCGAACTAGCACTTTACCAAGCAGGTCTGGGATGGGGTTTTACCTGATTTCCACTTGGCTGAATCCCTTTCAAGGGTGGTTCCTGGACTGCAGGACTGACGGTAGTTGAGTATGTGTAAGCCACCTGGGGAATCAGAATCGTTTGCTTATTGGCAGCTAGTGCTCGCAAGCATGGAACACTGTTCTGGTCAGCGATGGCCACGATTGTGGGTAACTGGGCAGTGACTGTAGGTATAGCAATATTTATGGGGTTGGCACTTGGTGGGATTACATTTACAACTGGTTCTGAGTCTGTAACACAACTGTCCTTCTGTGGCTCCTTTTTTGCACATGACAAGTTCAAGGGCTCTTCCTGGACAGAATAAACACTGTTCTGGTAAACACTAGTGATGGATGACCTTTCTAGTAATTCTCCCTGTTGCTTTGGTAGTGAAAGATCAAGAGGTTCTACTTGTGGCTCTTCTTGTGCACTGTCCGCTGTGTACACGTAACCCTGTGCATTTCTGGACGAGGAAAGGTTTAGTGGTGATGGGGATGGCGTTCTACCTCTGGAACCACTGACAGTCGATCCCACTGGCAAAACTGGAGATTTACTCATCTTCAGAGGGCTCTGTGGATTTATTGTGCTGTCTTGGGGTTCGTCTGCGTTTGTAGACGGAGGCTGATCGCTGTTCTCTGCAGGGATATTAACTTGGCCTGGTTCAGGAGAAGACAGTTCGGAAGACTGCACGGAGATCTGTCCAGCCTGCATCTTTTCAAACCACTTTTTTACAACATCCAGTGGCAGGTTGACCGAATCAGCAATTTTTGAGAGCTCTTCTGCGCTTGGTTGTGCATTCAAAGCATAATATGCCTTTAGAAGAGACAAGAGGTTCTTTAAAGGTGGCTGGCTGGGAGACAAACTGCCGTCTCCAGTACCTGATGAAACAGAGGACTCGGGCTTCTCAGCTTCTGCTGCAGGGAGCTGAGGCGGCCGAGCAGGCTGCTTCAGATCATGGTGCTTTAATTCTGGAAGTGCATTAGGATCTCCTGGGCGGCCATCACACAGAAGGCAAGTGCTGTCATCCACTCCCCCCTCAAAGCTTTTGTCCTTCTCAGATTTAACAGTAAGATCTTCTGGTAACTTCTCACTTTTGCAACCGTTTGTGGGGACTAGATTTTCTTTTTTTAAATTTTGAGGAACAACCTGAAGTTGGCTAGGCTGCTCAAGACTATAGTTGATGATAATTTTGGTTGTTCCATCTTGATCAACCAAAGGAAGACTGATGGCTGAAATAACAGAATGACCACCTTGTTGTATGGATGAAGCGCTGATTGTTTCTTGTTCTTTGGATGCAAGACTGGCTTGATTATTCTCCAAAACTTGCCTGATTACATTACCATCGACTGCCACTTTAAGTACATTCTGAATATCACTTAAGTTGATACTTATGGGAGACACCAAACCCACTGTTGGCAGAACAACAGCCTGCACCACACCCTGAGGAGAACTGGTTGCCTGTAATGGGCCACCACCACTGAAAACCCCGTTTTGTAAAGGGGTTGAACAGTTGATTCCTGAAGCAACCACTATGGGTTTGAATTCATAATCCACAGGTTCAGTTTTAATTTGGTTTACAGAAAGTTGCTCTTGAAGGGGTTTATTTTCTATCTTTTGCCGTATCTGTGGTCGTGTGGGACTGCCTGGTGATGCTGACAGAGATGGTGAGGAACACTGAGATGTCTTGAGTCCTGTTCTTGGTCGCCCATTGACAGGCATCAAGCTGATACACTTCTTACTGCTTATGTGGGAGCTATAGGAACCGGAATGGGAAAAACGTTTCTTGCAGTTGGGGCATTCATATGGCTTCTCTCCTAAACAACAACAACAAAATTATATTCACTATTACACAGACATTTTTAAAGAACTCACATTTTTCCTAAGACAAGCAATACCAATTTGCAAATGGGTTATCATGTGTGCTGGGTATAATTTTATTTAGAATAGTCACTTTAAGTTCAAAACCTACCTAAATGTTCTAAACACTGGTAAAATCTAAGTCTGAACTACATGTAGTAACCAATAAAGGAAACTTCTCAGTGTATAAAATTTCTGCCAACCTTTGTAACTGCAAATAATTCTCAAATACCAAATATAACCTAATCTTGCAGACATTTTTTCTTATTCTTTTTCACCAACCTATGTAGTTTTCCATATTTTACTCTATTTAACCGACTGTAAGAGAAATTAATGTTAGGAGAGACGAAGTAGGTAAACTCTCCTGTAAGACTTTACAAGTATGAACATTTATGCTTGATTGATAAACTTCCATATCCTACTGGGGAGAAAACTTTAAATACAAGGTAACGCTGTAATCCTTGGCTATTAAACTGGGGTATATGTACCCTGGAGATAAAAGGCAATGCTCTAGTGGGTATGCAAAGCATCTTGGAGTTCCAATTTATATTAAGACCCAGACTAGATTATGGAGAAAAAATGCAACATACGAAAAAATTGTTAAGGAAGAAAACACAACCTCAAAGAAGCTTCTAGCTTTTGGAGGCCTCCTCTGAGCTGTTTCCCTAGACTACTCGGAGGTACAAGGCATTTATTCCCTCTGGTCATTACGGATACTTTGGCAGAAAATTTTGAGAAGCCCTGAACTAAATGGAATATTTTCATACAAGCTTAATTTTCCACTTTTGTTTTAATTTATATTTATGGCTTATTAATTTGAGGTTTATAGGTTACAGATAAGCTTGAATAGAGTGGAGGCCTCTGGGTCCTGTCTGCCATTTATTCCCAGCACCTATCACAGTGCAGGTCACAAAAATGTTCATTGTTATGGATTGAACTATGTCCCCCAAAATAGGTACTGTAATTCCTAACCTCTGTGCCTGTGGTTATAATCCCATTTGGGAATGTGCTGTCTTTGTCTTTGTTATGTTAATGATATGGGATTAGTGTAGGCTGTGTTTTAAGTCAATCTCTTCTGAAATATAAAAGAGATTAAAACAAGCAAGCCAGCAAGCGGAGATGGGGGAAGACTGATGCCAAGCCACATGGAGATCTCCAAGGAACCAGGAAACAAGCTGAAAAGACAAGGCCCTTCCCCTAGAACCGACAGACACAGAAAGCCTTCCCCTATAGTCAGTGCCCTGAATTCTGAGTTCTAGCCTCCTAAACTGTGAGATTTCAACTCCACAGCAATATTTTTTTGTTTTTGGTTTAAATTATGAGAAAACAAGTTTGTTAAAGCCACCTGCTTGTGGTATTTCTGTTACAGCAGCACTAGATAACTAAGACACTCATTAAATATTTTTTAGATGAATGAATGGCTAATTGTAGAATTATGAAATGTGGTGATGCTGATTTATGTACTTAGTATCAAACTAAAGTTCTTTCCCTCCTTTTTTATGAATTAAAATGAAAGCAATGAGAAAGTCAACGTAATCTCTGCTAGTAATTAACTTTAGTGTTGTAAAGTTAAAAAAGATACGTTATATTCTCTCAGAAATATAATCTAGTATTCTCATTATTCGAAGAATCTGAAATCAGATTTGGACGGGATCTAACAAGTCCTCTAGCACAGCCTCTTTCTCAGTAAAGAGCTCATCTGCTATCATCCGTGACATCAACTTTGTTGTTCGTTGCTGTCAAGTCGATTCTGACTCATGGCGACCCCATGTGTGTAGAGCAGAACTCTACTCCATAGGGTTTTGAAGGCTATGACCTTTCAAAAGCAGATCACCAGGCCTGTCTTCCAAGGCACTTCTGGGTGGGTTTGACCTGCTAACCTTTCGGCTAGTAGTCCATTAGCTACTGTCTGCTTAAACTCTTCTAGTGAAAGGAGGTTACTACCCTCTGACAGCTCTATGAAAGGCAGTCTAGTCTGGTTCTGCTGAGGCCCGTGGATTTGTGTTGAAATCTTGGCTCTGACAAACACTACCTTCTTAACCTTTCCACACACCTCAGTGTTTTTGTGTGTAATGTAGATACGTCCTCACTGAATTGTGGTAGGGGTTATACGAGATAATACCACAAGTCTCCGAGTATGACCTCGATAAACGTTAGTGATTCTTGTAAAAATCATATCCACTGAGAGAAAGGTTGAGTACCTAGCCTAAGTCAGCTTCCTACCATCCCTTCTGATACACACAGAGCAAGTGTAGCTTTTCTTCTCTATGCCAGACTTTCCAACGTATGAAGAGCTCATGTGTATCCGTAGCCTTCCCTTGCGTAGATTAAACATACCTAGGTCCTTTAACCATTCCTCATAGGACGTGGTTTTCAGAATCCTTACCTGCTTATTAACCCACCTCTGTATATTCTCCAGTTTATCAATGTCTCTCAAACTGGGACACCTGGAATGGGATTCAATACTCAAAATACATCAGATAAAATTTTCCAATGGGGGTAAAACAAGGGATAATGTCTCTATTTTGAACATTCTTAATGATTTGGTTCCATTTTTAGATGAGCTAGATGCTTGTTCTCCTGCTTAGAGACACTAGAAAGACAAGCATCTGTAATACAGACTATTTTACATTTACAACCACGGAGATGGAGGAACAAAGTGGATAAGGCAATGACTTTGGTGTCAGGATGTCTAGGTCTAAGCCCCAGCTTTGCCATGTACTAGCTGAGTGACACTGGACAATACCGCTCTCCAAGGCTTCATTTTCCTATCAGTACAAAGGAGGAAATAATAGTATCTACCTCATAGGATTATTGTGGGGACTGTAACAAGCATGTGGCTGGTACATAGTTAAGTGTGCAACACATGCTAGTTTTATCATTGTTGAGATTGGCCTGATATATAACCACTGCCAGAAAGAGCACCTATAGAACAATTATTCTAAAGTCAAAGTCACCATGGTAGCTAGAAAATGCCTAGTTTCTAACTTTATAGATTTATAGTTTATACTGTAAGTACACCATCTAATTTGTCTACCTAGGTTAGTATTTGCAACTAGTTTAGCTTGGAGATTACACCAAGAGGTGGTACTGCTCCAAGTCAGATGTACTATGAATACTGAAATTTATTTTAATGGCTGAAGTGGGTGTTCTGTTGCATTTGATATAAAAATTTTCCTTGCTAAAATGACTAATGTCTTTTTTTTTTTTTTTTTTGAGTGAGGGGAGGATGGGGAATCATATGATCTTTACTACCCATTTGAGTATCTGGCACGTGTTAGAACAAACCCCAGGTTATTTTCTGGGGAGGACCGGAGCCCCTTTGCTGTTTTGTCTCACCTCTGAGTAGAGGTATGGTGGCCTTCTCATTGTATCTCACCTCCTACATGTGGAGTTCGAATGAGTGTTAACACATGACTCTGGATATGGCCCACTATTAAAATTCATGGGTGTCAGGATATAGCAACAATCCAGGCAATTTTTAGAGAGTATAATTTTGAACCTTGATCCTCAATACCTTTTAAAAACCTGTGGAAAAAAAAATTTCAGAGGATTTCCTGAGGGATACACAGGTCATCCATTATTAGATATTCTAAACAGTGCTCTTAAAACTATCTGTAGAGTGAAGGAACAGTTGTGTTTTTTAAATATTTTCAATCTAATGTAGACTAATATTTTGTTAAAATATAATACAAATATCACAGCAATGTCTTAGTGTAACAGTTTCTAAATGTTTACTCTTAATTCTGTATTTATCTCTTTGAGAACCCAGTAACACATCATTGGCAGACTGGCACCTGTCCTGGACGACACTTTGAGTAGCACTGTCTAAAATCTTCCCTCAGAATAAACCAGATCATCAGATCATCAAAGCGCTGTATACTTAGATTGTATCCAAGTGGCCACCTTGGAGAAACGATTTTTCTGAATTGAACTTTGGTACAATTCTGGCTTCTACTGAAGAATTTTATTTAAAAAGAAAACCCTGTCAAATTCTCTGCTGTGTTATTTTAAGGCTATTACTAAGGCTGACATTTTTTTTGCTCTTTTTCTTCTTTATACTTCCAGAAGCAACTTTCTCTATGGACTTAGCATCAGGGAAAGCTGTACTTTTTCTAGCAATTGACTTGTTTTACTTACAGAGACTCTGGGTCTTGTTGCTGATTGCAGTTTTTCTATTTCCTAAAGCTTAGAGCTTAATCTGCGGTCTACTTCCAGCATGGATTTCATGGCATTCTTTTTTTTTTTTTTAATATTTACTTCATTTTTACTGTTTTAAAATTAAAATTTCTTGATATATTAAATGGATATATACCTCATATTAAACAATTTTAAGAGCATGACAAGTATAAATCAATAATGAATGGACAGGGTAGAGAGCACAGTGGGAGCTCTATGCTCCGTGATCTGGCTTCCTGAGCAGCAGCAGAGGCAGCGGCAGGAGTATACAACAGCAGCAGTGGCAGGAGTATACAGCAGCAGTGGCAGGAGTATACAGCAGCAGCAGTGGCAGGAGTATACAGCAGCAGCAGTGGCAGCAGTATACAGTAGCAGCAGTGGCAGGAGTATACAGCAGCAGCAGTGGCAGGAGCATACAGCAGCAGCAGTGGCAGGAGCATACAACAGCACACAGCTAACTTGTAGACCAACCCAGCCCTGAGAACTTCTCTGCACTACAGGCAGTAGCTCCCTACTTACCATGTGAGTGAGACTGATTTTGATTTTTGAATATTGCTGCGGGATTTTGCAACTAAATTTCAAATGGTTGTTTCTAGACCAGTATTTTAATCTGAGGAGAAGGCTTTACATTTCGACTCTTCTCTTTGATATGATCTATGCTTCCCAACTTTGTATCATCTATATATCTGCCCAATCCTCATCCAACTGCAATAGGACCAGAAGACAGTTATTTTGTACGTGACATGAATCTCACTCTAAGCTTTGTCTTATTTTCCTTCTTCTACCCCAATTTTGGAGCCCTGGTAGTGCAGTGGTTAGGCACTCCACTGCTAACCAAAAGGTCAGTGGTTCAAATCCACCAGCTGCTCCATGGGAGAAGAGACCTGGCAATCTGTTCCTGTAAAGATTACAACCTAGGCAACCCTATGGGGCAGTCCTACTCTGTCCTATAAGGTCACTACGAGTTGGAATCGACTCAACAGCACACAACATGAACCTCAATTTTGACATTTTTCTACCCTCTTGAATTAGCTACATGTCTGTTAGCACCTTCAAACTGTTTCTGGTATGAAGGTATGTTATTAAAAATACATTATTATTGATAAAAGTTGTTCAGCAGCTCAGGAGCTAAGAAATGGATCCCGTGGGCAGGCTGTAAAAGACAATCTCTACTTTCTAGAATCATTAATAAATGTGTGAAAATAAATGTTTTTGGTAATAATCTTGGTTTGAGTATTTTTAAGTGGTAACTTCAGCATTATTTAAGCCTCAATAAGCAACACCATAAAACTTCTAGAAACATATTTCCAAAATAAAATACAGATATAACCATACTATTTTGTAGAATAATATGTTTGTAAAATATATAATAATTTTCACAAAGTCAGCTATGTGCAAACACCTACCATTTCCCATTCATTAGCTAATAGTTATTTTTTTATTAAAAATTAATTAAATCTAAAATAACACATCAAAATTAATTAGGGGATGAACAGATTTCATAGAGTGGTGTGGGATGTTGCTGTTTTCTTTATAAGTTAAAGTTCAAGAAGAGTTGTTAAAGAAATGAAAATATAAATATAGCTTTCTTTGCTTGTCATAAATTCACTAAAATACACATAATATTTTTTCATAAAACAGTATTCATTTTATAATTAATAATATACAAAATGAAGATGTGGAGAAAAGTAAAGATGACAGGGAATACATTTCTCTTTTACATTCTCATTAACGCTGTAGTTCTCTGCCCCATACTGCCCTCTCACTGTCTCCCCATCACCCCCCCACCATTTCCTTCTCTTGAGTTCCATTTCTACTTCTCTCACATACAGAATATCTTCACCTTCTATTTCTCTGTGCAAATTGTACCCTTTTTATTCCCTTAATTCTGCAAAAGAGGCAATGAAATTAATATTCATTAGAAAGCAGAAGTGTTTTTAGGTTGCACTGCTGTTAAAACATGCTATACTATTTTCTGATTACCAAATTTGGAGTATGTCACATTACATTAATTAGACATGCTTTAGTCATAGGTTAAGACTCCAATAAAATACATTTAAACAGAAAATGTCTACACAGTAGTCTTTATCCTAAAAGAAAAGCACAGAATTTCTGATTATGTGCGTAGATGACGTTATGATAGATTTATTTGTATTTATCAAGAATGCTAAGATATTCAGGGTGTAGGAAGAAACAAATATTTACCACTGTGGATTCTTAAGTGCTCTTTTAGGTGGTGTTTGTATTTGAAAGCTTTTCCACATTCAGTGCACTTGAATTTACGGTTACCCCCAGACTGCGTCACATGTCTCTGTAAGAAAGAATTGGTGTTTTATTTATAAAACAAAAGAGCTTTAGATATAAAGTACACCCTGCTAAAAGTAATGTTTTGGGTAAGTTTGATGATAATTTTGTTCCTTAAAGGCCTCAAACTGTAGCAGTCACAGAAATCTAATATTTGGAATTATTACCAAAAACGATGGTGATAGTGGGAAAGGAATTCTGATGCAGAGAAAAATCTCCACATTCCAGTTTAATGTATGGGAGCCATAATTTATTAAGCAACAGTATTTAGCAAAAATGCAGTCATGTACACAGGCTGGGAACTTAGAGATTATCAAGTCTGTCCTCTAATTAACATAAAGAAAATAAGGACAAGAAAATCAATAAACCTTCTAAAGCACAGTCAGTCCACAGAAACACAAGGTCCTGACTCTCAGGCTGGGCTTTTTCCCAGTACTTCATCCTGTCTCTTACATGTCTGACATTTCCAAATGTTCTGTAACCTGGTGATTTAATAAAAAAACAAAACAAACAAAAAAAAACTTCCATCTTCTCCAGCCCAATGTAGATAATTACAAGAGCTTTCTGTTTGATTAAATTCACATTTGCATATATTTCTAATGCATTCTGCACACCATTTTTAGATTAATATTGTACAGCACTATTTTAATTGTATCAACTCCTGCTCAACATCTCCAAAGGTTTTTCCATTAAGCCCTGGATAAAGACTCTAAGTCTACAGATTCCAATTTTTTAGCCCCTAAATTTCCAGGTTTATTCTTCACCAGTTCTCTGTAAGAAGTGCATGCCTCAATCATTGAGGACGTCACAATTTTTACACAATACTGCTCTTCTCAATCACCTCGCTTCTGTTCGTACTATTCCTTCGTCCTTGGCTATGTATCCCCTTAATTCTGAGTGTTTAAATTCTATCCATCCTTCAGAGGCTTGAGTCAAGTCCTACTCGTGTCACTCTCACCCCAGCTAAAAGAATGAGTACCTATTATGTATCAGGCCTTCCTTCATTCAAACCCACAGCTTTAAACACCGTATTTACGTTTAGTATATTCAGTGATAATAAAGGAGCCCTCATGGCACAGTGGTTAAAATGCTCAACTGCTAACTGAAAGGTCAGCAGTTTGAAACCACTAGTGGCTCTGCGGGAGAAAGATGTGGCAGTTTGCTCTGTAAGATAAGATCCACAGCCTTGGAAACCCTATGGGGTTGCTATGAGTCAGAATCAACTTGACAGCAGTGGGCTTTGGTTTTAGTATAACTCCCACATTTGTATCTCAAGCCCCAAACTCTGGAGTAATCCTTGATTCCCCTTTCTCTTACACCCTCATCTAGTCCATCAGCAATTCATCCAAATGTATTCTGAGTCCAATCATTCCTTACTACGTCATGTCCACCCCCACTACCCTAGTTTAAAGTTATCACCATCTCTCTGGCCGGGATTATAGAAACAGCCTCTAAATGGCTTCCTTGCTTCCATTCTTGTCTCTCTTTGTCTATTTTCCACCCAACAGCCAGTGCTCCTTTAAAAATAAAAGGCAGATTATGTGACTGCCTCTCTCAAAATCTTCCAAAGTCTTCCCTCTAACACTTTAGAATAAATTCAGAGGTTGTGACCATGACCTATACAAAGGCCTACATCACCTGGCCCCCACACCTCTCCGGCCTCACCTATCTTTCTCCCCTTCATTCACTGGGCTCCAGGAACACTGGCCTCCTTGCTGTTTCTTGAGCGTGCCAGGGACGTATCTGTCTCAAGGCCTTTCCACGGCTCCCTCTGTTCCCCTGACTGCAATGCTCTTCCCAGAATATTCCATAACTGGCTCCTTCATTTCATTCAGGCCTCAGATCAGATGTCTCATCCTCAGAAAGCTTCCTCTGCCCCATAAAAATAGCAGATTCTACTACTTTCTAGCCTCTTACTCTACTTTTTTCTTCATACCACCTGTTTTTACATTTCATATCTACTTTATATTATTTACTCATGTATGTGCCCTGTGGGCAGGGACTTTACTTGTCTATTTCACTATTGTGCCTTTAATACTTGGGACAGGACTTAACACATAATGGAAACTCAACTATCTGTAGAAAGAATAAACTAAAAAGACATGGAAATGCTGCTTAATTTTTAGCCCTGGGCATGATTTTCAAAGACTAGCAAGATAGACATGCTACCCTTTAGTTTGTTGCCTAGCAACCTAAATTGTTTCCAAGGCTTCCCAATGACATTTCCTCACATTCCTGGTCCCCACATTTATCGGAGCTCCTTCCCGACCTTGTTAGTAGCTTGACCACACACTTCATCGATCTACTGCTTTTGCACTCATCAGGAAAATCATCACAAAAGTTGCTTTTGTGTTCATCAGAGATCTTACTGTTTGTTTTTATAATGGCATCTCCTGCTTTCACCACCAGCTCTAGCTGCCTTCAGAGATCCTTTCCCTTGACAAGGGCTCTTGGTAGAAAGAGGATAGGGTGGCAGCAGCTGGAGGATGACCCTACTCCTGCAATGGCACGTGAACAGGCTCTTTTCCCAAGGCATGTTGACACCGTAGTGGCCTCAGGACACTAACGTGCAGAAAGCACTCTTCTGCACGGTCCCCACAAGGACCAGTGGTACACAGATGATGTCTGACTGAGTAATCCCTTCGGTCCCCACAAGGACCAGTGGTACACAGATGATGTCTGACTGAGTAATCCCTTCTCTGTGTACCCTCCATTTCAGGTGCTCCATCACAGACTTAACCATCAGTCTCTCTCAGGAAATCTTGGTCCCATCTTGCCTGACTGCCACCCTCTCCCCCATCGTCTTGTTCTTTTGGGACTGTTGTTGCCTAAACAGACTGACGCTGCTCGGTTACCATTTTTCCACCTGGTTTAGCTGCCATCTTAGTAAAGGGTCTAACTTGTTCTCTGTGTGATACACGACTTATATCAGGTACAAATAAAGGTCACAGTGCTCACAGATTCAGGTACGTAATATTCACCATCCTTTGATATAAGAAATTGGACATGTGGCCCAAGCTCAACATATACTCTAACGTAGCAACCCTGTTTGGTTGAGTATTTATTTGATTTTTTTAGGAATTGGAGTTATGTTAATATTGATTTGATTATTAGCTTTTTTCCCCAGTATTTATTAGTCAAACTGTAAAATTAGGTCATAAACCCTAGATTCTAATTATGATTAAATTTACTTATAGTTATCAGGACCTTGTAAAAAGAAAGACAATTGGCAAAAGTTTCCTTGGCTTTAATCCTTCAGTATAAAACCAATAGCTTAAATGTAACTTACAATTACAGAATAATCTTGGTTTATGCTTCTAGAAATCAGGGCATAGTAACATAGAAGTAGATTAAACCATATGAGAGTTGAGTCTTCAGAATAAAAATGGTTTCGAACCTAAACAAAATTCCTAGATGAGGCAACCTCCCTTACTATGGGAAAAATCCCACAGTAGCTTATACTGAGAATAAATAAAGGAATCACTGGTTCACAGAAAATTAAACTTTATTATATATTTGGTTTTCTTCTGAATTTGCTAAGTACTGAGTCATGTGGTTTATGTATATTTATTTTTCCTACAAAGCACACTAAACATTTTAATAGGATGAATTTTGAAATCTTACAAACTTAGAGAAATATTTGCTATAGTATAAGCAAAATAATTAAATTAAGATGAATAGGATCTTACTTGAAAAAGAAAAAAAAAAAATAGTTCCCTCTAAAATAATGTTCATATGTGTTTTTAACTCAGAAATGGTCAGATAATTTGAATAATCACTTTCGTTTTTGTAAGCCTGTAGACAAGATACTGTCTAGTACAACCTTTCCATTTTTCAGTGTATTCAAACCCCTGCCTTCCGTGAAGGTTAGCTCTCAGAATTTGGGAAGTGAGTGAACTCTCAGCCATCTCACTTACTTGATCTCTTCCTGATTTATGTGATGTCATGTGACGTTCAAGCTGGGTTCTGTATGCAAAGGTGTAACTGCACAGAGAGCAACTGAAGTTATCTTCATTCTTTTCATGGCGATACTTAATGTGTTCTTTCAAAGAGGTAAAGCGTTTATAGCCTCTATCACAATACGGGCAGGTGAGTAACTGGGAAAATGCATCTGGTGTTCCTGTAAAAGAAAGAGCATACATTCTAAACTCAAAACATTCAGAAAATATTACCAAAGCTACCACCGAGTCCTTGTGCAGCTATGTGTCAGATGTTGTGCTAAACCGGAAAAAAAAAAAAAAAAAAAAAGCAGGAAACCCATTGCTGTTGAGTTGTTTCCAATTCATAGCGACTCTATACTCAAAAAAAACAAAAAAAAAAAAAACAAAAAACCTGTTGTCATGGAGTCGATTCCGACTCATAGTGACCCCATAGCGACTCTACAGGGCAGAGTAAAACTGCCCCATAGGGCTTCCAAGGCTGTAATCTTTACGAAAGCAGACTGCCACATCTTTTCTCCTGTGGAGCGCTGGTGGGTTCGAACGGCTGACCTTTCGGTTAGCAGCTGAGTGCTTATCGTCACCAGGGCTCCTCAGATACTGTGTTACTCGTTTTATATTTTACGTTTATAAAACAATCCAGTGTTACTCATCTCTATAAAAAAGAACATGTGAGGCTCAGGATGGTTAAATAGATCACACAGCCAGTAAATGATGAACTCAGGATGAAAGTCCGTATCTTGTTTGCTAAACATAATTCTTCCCTTCCTTTGTGTGGTTAAGTTGACCAAGAAAACAAAAGAGAATTAGAATGTAGGTTACTTTTTAAGTGTATATATTTGTAAACATTTATAGATGAGGATTTGTACTCCACAACAGGAACTCACCACTGGTAGCAATGTCATGATGATTTATTTAATGCTCATTCCTCTGGATTTGAAAATGACCCTTTAGTTATTGTCATCAAGGAGTAGGTGGTACACTGTTAGACTACGTTTCTCAGACCCTCGTATGGTTAGGTGTTGGCCATATGACCGAGTTCAGACCAGAAGAAATGTGTGTGGGACGGGGAGGAGGGGTGGGTGATGGGAACCAGTTCTAGGACTAGCCTATAAAGACCTCCCAGGCACAATCCTTCATAGTCTTCCTGTTGAAATACACTGACACGTTTTCTGTATAATTTTATATGTCTAAGTATAGGATAGCTTTGAGAGAATAAAGGCATTCTGAATCAACTGGAGTTCACTGAATGAACTATATTTTTAAACATGGAACCATCTAAGCCTGACAATGCTAAAATATAATACTTCATCAATTTGTTAATTAAGAGTAGTTTTCCAGATGTGATTTATTTTTTTCAAAGAAGTCCCTAAGTGACATCTTATTGTAAATATCATCTCCACCTTCATTTTGAATTCCCCATAGAGAAACAGACTACCAAAAAAAACTTCATAATAATCTCCAAATGCATCTATCACCTTTCTTGAAATTTAAGTCCACACAAATTTAATGTCTTACTCAAGGATCATCCTGCAAATAATTGACTGAATACCTGAACTCTGAATAGCTAGTTAAATACTTTGAAATATGTATTAAGTATGTGAATAAAATCAAACCCCAATCCCCAAAAGTTTATCATGGTATCTTTAGTGACCAGCTAACAAGCCAACTTAAACCAGAGAGTTTTCTGTTGGGGGTGACTCTAACATGACCCTCTCCTTTGGGTAAATAAATTAGCTACTTGAGGAAATATTCTGGTACAACAGCAAAAGTCAAAGCCAACCACTGTGGGTTTTTCATTACCGGCACCACGATGTAACATGGTTTCCATTAATCAAGCTGCTCATGTGCCACAGAGCTGTCTGCTTTCACTCTCCTCTGCTTTCTTCATCACCTTCATGATTAACCCTCACATTCAATAAACAAAACACTGGTAAATTCTGTGAAATGACAGGTTGCTCATGATATTCTGACAGCAAATTATTATTTTCATAAATCAATATATACTGCATTTTCTCATAGACATGAGATATGAATTCATTCTTTTAGTCCACCAGCATAAAACAATGAAAAGTAAATATGAATATTTAGGATAATAAGTTACAGAATGAAAATGAACAGGTTTAAAAGTTCAATGCAATTTTTTTTCTATTTTTGAAAAACATTGGATTTCTGCTTTTTAAAAGTCACTTACAACAATGAAGGCTTGGCTTTTATGGGGAATGTGTTTCTTTCCAGAATTTTTATAAGAAAGTTAAGGCAGCTATATTCAATACTCCTAAAAACCTATCTTTGACTATTTTTTGAACTGTCTATAATTAATGTATCCGTGACCATGAACACACTTCCATTTAAAAAAAATAATTTATTTTTTATAGCCTAATATTTCCTTTGGTAATCAGCATACCATTTCAAACTGATAGTACTACTTGATATAAAACCTTTAAAAAAATCTCATTTATTTGTTCTCCACTGACTCAGAATTTGTGATAACTCAAAGTTTGCCTGTTTACAATTTATGAAAAAAAAGTACTTGGCAACTGAATGTATAAAACAAGATTGTGGAACAGGACCTTAATCCACTCAAAATTAAAAAATTTAAGATTTTCTGAACATAATCACTATTTACATATAAACAGACATGGCCGGTGTGACAGAATGTCTACTTCGGAATATTTTATTAGTAGTTAGTTAAGTTACATTATATACCTGACATTAAGGGACACCTGAATTAAAAATATATTCTATAATTCAGACTTTCTACTAATTCAGAAGGTTTAGTTCACCAATTTTTGTGAGATTTTACTGTGCTGATTCATGATACTGACTTTGCAAGGTTTATCCTTAGTAGAGCTATGCAATGGAAATTTCTAAAACAATGTTTTTCTTTCACTGAGGCTTTTTGAGTCTTCTGTCACATATATACATTGGTGTAGGTGTGTGTGTGTAATTATTTTCTATATCCCTTTCATCTCACTGTAATTTGCTTCTTCAGGTGAAACGGTAACACATGTTCTTTAAAAGAAAAAAAAATCTAGAAATTAAAGCAGAAATGGCAGGGCCTTACAGGATTACAATGCCAATAACTACTGATTCTCCAAATATGCAAATAAATCAACAGAACATGAATGATTTAGCCGACATGCACTGTCCCCAAGGTCAATAACTTACATTCTTCAGAAATACATTTTTTTTCGGTGGGAAGAGTTCTAGAGTGCCCCCTCCTCTCATTTCCTGATTTAGATACAGAAAATTCTGTCTTTTTTGTTTCTGCCCCTTTTCATAGTTGACTGCTGGTTTATGGAAGATGCAGTTCACCCTTTGCAATTTCCTTCAAAAATTTAAAAGTTGATTATGTGAATACTAAGCTTAATCTAGTCATTAAACTGGGAACCATGGCAAAATCAAACCAGACTGAGGATCTTACTGCTTTTAGCATCCTTACAAATTTCAAGTAACTCCATAGCTCTTGGTCAGAGCTCTTAACATTTCTTGCAGGAACATTTGCTTGATCTTTTCCTCTGTTTATAGTGGTTAGAGAGGCAGAATGACAGCCTATTTCTTTTCAGGAGGGTCTGCACACATTATTACTGCATTTCCCCACTATTTATACATTGACTATTTATATCAGAATGGATTAAGCAGGTACAGAAAAACCTTTGTCTCAAAATTAGTACTTTAGAACTAGACAATAATGTTTTGTTGCTAAAAGAACAGTGGAAAATAATCAAAGGACAGTAAGGGTCACCCAGTTCCCATCTCTGCTGTCTGCTGCCATGTGAGTGAATGGAGACTGATGTTCAGGCACTGAGCTAATCATCTCCCAGGCGGTGGCATTACCGCTGCATATGTGAGCAGCCACTATTTTAATACTGTAGTTACCACAATGTGCCACTGATAGAAGATTACTCTCTACAGGCAACTGCAATAAATTTTGGCTCTCAAAATATGTTCTCTCTAGTAGAGGAGGTTCCCACAGTAGAGTCATAGAAATCACGATCCTTTAAAGATGGAAAGGAAAACAAGTGCTGGGCTCCATTTACCGTTTTCATCATGACCACCGGCTTCTGGTGTGCCCTGCCTCTGGTCCTCTTCAGGTGCCTCAGGATAAATGACAGCAGTGTCTTGTTGTTGCAGGAACTCTTCAACGTTAGGGTCACGGTTTTGTTCATTTTCTGCATCTGAGTCACATTCATCATCTTTTACTAAAAGAAACGTAAACTTTATAAGACGTCATTTCACCACCGTTCATTACAAAGTTTTACTGAATAAGAAATTATCTTGAGAGAAGGCACGACTGTTCTTGAATTTTTAGGAAATATTTACTGAAAACTAAAAATGAAATTCACTCATTTTGTACTACAGGTAGTCCGACTTATATTTGAGTTTCGACAAACACCACTTACATCTGTTTTCTTATTGTTAGTAATATGTACTACATACAATGTTGCAGCATGTAATTCAATGTTTATATGTAATGTTTCCAAACCCCAAAGACAAATAAAAATGAGAATTATAAAGATACTGATAATAAAAGGCAATAATAATGAAAACTAAAAAAAAAGAGGTATTCGACTTACGTCAGAACTGACTTATGTGTTGGAACCTCCTCGTAAGTAGGGGACTACCTGTACTCTGTTAAGAAGTCCTTTTGCTTTACAAATTCAAAGTGTTAGAAATGTCTTGCAGGTCTAACAATATCCCTTTTAAGCTTTTGAGTTGTATTTCTATTCCGTTTATTAATAAACAAGCCATAGAGAAGGTAATATAGTTGACTGATTTCCTAATTTCTCAATCAATGATAAAGCAAAGGAGAAAAAAACAAAACACCAACAAAAAACCTTAGTTCTCAAAGATCATCTTCCTATCAACCTATCATATAATATGTATTTAAGGTTGTACTTTAAAGCTGAATCATTCTCATGCAAACAACTCTGAGAGTCAGTTCAGTTATGTGTTTTTAGGGAAATAGCTTTAATAATTACCTATAGCTGGAAAGATTTTCTGTAAAGTCAAAAGGTATCAAACTGATAAAAACTGATTCTTCCCTCCTCTAGTATCCACACACAAACAAGACTATACCCTCTGTTTCTGCCTCAATAAGTGTTTAACTATGGAGTTAAGGCCGAGGTATTTTTTCCTGAAAAACAGTCAGAAAGGCTTAGAGTAACAGAACGTGCTCCATTTGAGAGGGGAGCACACAGCACTGCCGAGCTCCTGATCCAGTATTACTGCACTGTGCTCTTCCTCCAGGTCCTCCAGCGGCTCCAGGGAGAGTGTCGACTTCATGCTGTGGTTAAGTGTAATGGCTCAGTATGGCTCGCAAGTGTCTCCTGGCTAACTGCTTTATAGAAGATATAACAGCAAGTGATTGCATGCAGTCAGGTCTAAATGTGTAAAACAGCAATGCTAGCAGTCTGAAACTGGGCCAAATTGAAAAGGCAAAATAAGCATCTTTTTGTTCAATAGTTCGTTAATAAAACAATCTTGCTAAGTCTCCTGTATGGTAGTAGTAGATGAGCTCCTCAGGGCGTCTGCTGTTTAAATCCTTAGAGCTAGTGACACAGTCACTGTGGCGACACTGATTACTATGACATCATTTTCTCCTTTTCAATACAGCCAATAATGAGTCGCTGTCATAGTGACCATGTGTGCCAGAGTAGAACTGTACTCCAAAGGGCTTTCAATGGCTGTGATCTTTCAGAAATATATCAGCCAGGCTTTTCTTCCCAGGAACCTCTAGGTGAATTCAAACCATCAACCTTTCAGTTAGTAGCCAAGCACTTAACCATTTGCGCCACCCACAGACTCCAAAACCAGTTGTTACTGAGTTGATTCTGACTCACGGTGACCCCAGCTGTGTCGGAGTAGAACTGTGCTCCATAGGGTTTTCTTTTTTTTTTGTCTATAAAGCTTCCATGACCTTGCCTTGGTCAAGTTGTGCTGGCTTCCCCAGTACTGCATACTGTCCTACTCTGCACCAAAGTTACCACTTCTCTTTCCGTTTGCACCACCCAGGAACTACAGGTACCAATTATTTAGCATCTGCTATATACAGGGTCACTATGAGTCAGAACTGACTCAACGGCAATGGGTTTGGTTTTTTGGTATATACTGAGAGGGAGACCCTGGGTGGCATAAACAGTTAATGTGCTCAGCTGCTAACAGAAAAGTTGGCAGTCTGAGTCCACTCAGAGGTGCCACAGAAGAAAGGTCTGGTGATCTAATTCTGAAAAATCAGCCACTGTAAACCCTATGGAACTTTTATTTTGTGGGCATTGATTGAGTTTATGTTAATGGTGATGGAATAATTTGGAAAAAATGATTGCATTACATGAAGAATGTAATCAGTGTTCCTGAATTCTATATGTAGAAATTGCTAAACTGGCAAATGTCTTATTGCATACATTTTCACCATAATTTAAAAAAAAACAAACCCTCTGGAATACACTTGTAGTCTGAAACACATGGAGTTGACCACGCATTGGAGTCAACACGACAGCAGCTGGCTTGGTTTTTGGTATACACTGAGAACTGTATTACTCTCATTTCAGGCCAGGAGTCACCACACTGGGGTTAGTGGATCCAGGGGTATGTAATGACTTTTTTTAAGAGGTAAGCTGGTACTGTTGGTTTTAAGAGAATTAATTTCCAGCTTCTCAACGTCCATGCTTACTCTTTATTCACATCTCAAAGGCGCTTCTCCCCTTTCCCCTCGTTTTTTTACTCTTTCTTAAAAAAAGAAAAAAGGGCATCCCTCCACCCAACCAGAACATTAATATGGTGCATTGTCTTGATGTGTGAAAACCTCCAGGGTGGACAGTAGAAAAACGCAAAATACTATTTGGGGAAAACCTTTATTGATCAATCAAAGCAACATCAATCTACTCCAGCCCTTGTGTTTTTTTCTGTTCATGAGGATTTCTATCAAGTGTGATGTACGGCAACTGAAACAGGGGAGCTTGGCTCTAGTTGAGATGCTATGAAATCAGCTGTGTAATAATGTGACCAGAGGGAGTGACGGTAATTTTTCTTTAATGCTGTCACTTGTTCCATCCCCTATTATTAAGAAAAAAAAAAAAAAAAAAACATTTCTTTTCAGAAGGCCTGGTGAGAGCAAAGCAGGACTGTCAACAGTCATTCCCAGGATCTGTCCTCAGCTGGGAAACAACCACCTCTAAACAGCCAGAGCAACACAAGTCAGTGAGTCTTGTCAATGCAACTGCAGTGTGTTCTGGTACTACATGTTTTTCAAGTTAATCCATGAATGAAATTTATATGTGATTTCTTATGTATTCCATATCGTTAGACGTGACAAGGTAGTTAAAACCTGTTTTTACCAAAGTATACAATAAAATATTTATTCAATTAGATAGTCTCCATCGTACAAAATGTTAATATTTTCTACATTCTAATAACAAAAAATAAAAATAAATATATGTATATATGTGTGTGTATACAGTATACGCTAGCTGCAGGAATAATAAATTTTGTAATAGCATATATTTTTCAAAACTCAATATTCTGTACTTTACACATGAATCTTGATTCTTTAATAAGTTATGAGTTTGCTGATATTTGTACTGGTTCTAAATGTACTCATCTGGAGACAAAGATTTTTATAACTTATAAAAATTACATTAGTTCTATATCATCTTAATCTTGACCTCTCTATTAGTTATCTATTTTTATAAGATCAGTTTATTTATAATTTAGGTATTCCTCATATAGTTCCTCAGAAATTTTATAAAATTCCTCAAAATGTGTACTGATACAATTATTTGAATGGAAAATGAAATTACAGTCTTTTCTGACAGAAAGAAATTCTGATTTGGCTAAGTGGTATGAAGTTATAAGTGCCTTTGCCAGTTAGGTTATTAGGTTGAAAATTTCCAGAAACTGAATGAAATAAATCTGTATCGGTAAGTTATTGATCACATATATTTACTGTATGTGGTAAGATAAAAGAATTTTTATAAAAAATATGTTGGCAAAAGGTAGTGAAATTCACAATATTTCAATTTCTCCAATCATTTCTGAATAAACAACAAGCCTCTAAGTGAGAAAAAACAATAACAAAACAAACAAAAATCCAGGTATAATTAGTCCGTTGATAAGTACTTGTCAAGTCTTTCCGGTATACTTCCCAGAAAATGAGGCAGTGAATAATTTTAATGGCTGGGAAACACATTCTTCTGCAAATTAGGTGGCTTTGAATTTCTTGCTTTCAACAAAAGTGAGGGAAGTTAGAGACCTCCTACTCTGTTCTTCTTCTTCAAGGTTGCTTTGGCTAAAAGGTGGAGACAACTCCAGTGTCCATCAACAGGACAGGTAACAAACTGTGGCACATACATAAAATATTACTCTGCCATAAAGAGAGATGAAGTCACGATACACGCCATAATACAGATGAATCTCGAAAACATTATGCTAAGGTAAAACTAGTTAATCACAGAAGGACAAGAATTACATGATTTCACTAACATGAAGTACCTAGAATAAGCAAAGGTATAGAGATTAGAGTTTAATGGCGGTTACCAGGGGCAAAAGGGAGGAATGGGGGGGGGCGGCGGGGAAAGGGGAGAATAATCACTGCTCAAGTAGCATAGAATTTTTGTTTACGGGGATGGAAAATCTGGCAACGGACACTGGTGGTGGTTGTACAACATGACTGATGTAACTGGTTTTACTGAATTGTACACGTGAAAAATGTTGAGCGGGCAAATGTTGTGTTCTTTATATTTTCACAACAATAAAAATTTTTTTTAAAGTGAAGGAGTAGTTAATTGAATTTTCAGATGACAGGACATTAAAAATATTTTTACTGATAAATCACCATTAGTTTTTGGCATATAACTTGAAAATATGCAAAGAACTGTGTAACTCAGCTGCAACAAAAGTTTTATTTCATCTTTTCATTTATTAGAATAAGGCATCTCAGTCCTTACGTCTATAAACAAAAAATAGGATTAGAATTAATGCTGAACACTTTTCATTCTAGAAATAAGTGAACTTAGACTACTGAAAAATGAAGTAATTTAAAAATAATTCTGCTTTTTAACCTCATGTCCAATAATATTTTATTCTTAATAATTATTTATTAAAAGGTATAATATATTTATGTTGTGATAAACTTTGTACTATAATAATTACAAATATAAATCAATCCACAAATTTTTAAATACTTAAGAGGTCTGTGGTTCCTGAAAATTAAGGAGAAATTTAAATCTCAATTTATATACATATTTTTGTTGCAAAGAAAGTATGAATTGATAAATACTCCCAAACAAGAAATACATATTAGCAGAAAATTCTGTTGGGTATGTGAAATGAAAATATGAGTTTAAGGAATAAACATTATGTTGTAACATTTCTGACTCAAAGAACAGTTTATTCATATTTTTAAAAAAATGAATGATAGTAGGTATTAAATGCCTATAGGTTTCACTGGATGCATATAAGAGAGTGATGTTAAAATATCAACTTTTTTAATATGCCAGAAACTAAATCCTTTGTAACTATTTACATTTAGAATGAAAAAATTTTAGATGTCCGTTAAAAAATCTGCGAAGCAACAAAGAGACCAGACTTACTGGTCTGACACAGACTAGAGAAACCCTGAGAGTATGGCCACTGAATACCCCTTTAACTCAGTACTGAAGTCATTCCCGAGGTTCACACTTCAGCCAAAGATTAGACAGGGCCATGAAATAAAATGAGACTAAACAGGCACACCAACCCTGGGGCAAGGACTAGAAGGCAGGAGGGGACAGGGAAGCTGCTAACGGGGAACCTAAGGTTGAGAAGGGGAGAGTGTTGACATGTCATGAGGTTGGCAACCAATGTCACAAAGCAATATGTGTATTAACTATTTAATGAGAAACTAATTTGCTCTGTAAACCTTCATCTAAAGTACAATTAAAAAATTTGTGAGGCAGGATGTAATCAGTTTATATCAGGGCTTCAAACCAGTTCATTCCAGTTCGAACCCCTGCTGGGAATTTGCACTTCCACTCGAGATATACTGAACCAGAATCTACAGTCTAACAAGATCCCCAGGTGATTCTTATGTATAACTTCCTGGGAACTTGTTAGAAATGCAAATTCTCAGCAGGGAACTTGTTAGAAATGCAAATCCTCAGCAGGGGTTTGAACTGTAAGGAAAGGTAGGAAGCCCTGGTTTACATACTATAAAATTTGATAACAGTGCCTCTTTAGGATTGTTATAAGGATTACATTAACATAATAATGTGCTGAGTACTGTCCCTGGCATGCAGTGCTATGTAACTGTTAGTTATTTTCGTTAAAGCAGTCCTGCAAGGTGAACGTTATAATTTCCCAATTACAATTTTTTGCAATAAAAAAAATTAGGGCCAGAAATTTTAGCTAACTCTTCCAAGACCACACAGTAAAAAGTACTACTACTGGAGCAGACTATTTGTTATCAGGTGTCTGATATCAAATCCTTTGCTCTATTTGCTAAACTCTGGTCTTGGGAACCCATATTTACCAAGCCCAATTTCCAGCTTAGACAAGAAATTCTGAAGTTTTACTCATAAAATTTAAAGTGTTGGGAAGTGCACGTCCACGAAAAGCTCAATTATAAAGAAAATCCTCAGGTCTTGAGACTGCTAAACTGATGCATTTAAATCCGAGAGATGAGCACACACACAGAAACATATAAGGATACCATGAAATGACTCAGGTGATTGTTAAAAAGTACAGAATTACAGAACTATAATCACAAATCAGAGAGAACAAGGACAGAAAGACAACCTTTAATAGAAAACTAAATTTTTTGTTTAGCCATCATTTTTTTTTTCCACTCAGAATAAAGTATCCTCAGGTTTCCTCCTATCTTTATCCATTTTTAAACTTTGTAACAGTACTAGCTATAGAAACAAAAAAGAGATGCTCAGAAGGAACAAAGGCTGTTTTGGGTGAATTTTTCACTCTCTGAATACTAAGCTCAGATTACAGTTCTCTTGACAACTTCATGAATTGCAAAAGGAAGTCAGCTATAGAAAGGATCTGACAAAGTTCTAAACTAATGATGGCAACCTTTGTATGATGTTTTCGTTTACTTTGTCAGCCCATTATTCCCTAGAAGTCAAGGAAACAACAAAAGCAAAGGAAAAACATAATTTTAAAGTTTAACTGCTCAAAATTCCCCAACTTCCAATCTCCATCCTTCTTTCCCTAAAGCCATACTCATCAGGGCTTCACTCCGAACTCTCCATGTTCCAAGAAGAGAGCGCAGAAGGGGTCACCTTGGAGCTGGGGAGGGGAAGGGATCTCATCTGTTAAAGCAGTTCTGGTCAGTACAAGGTACTTTACCTGCCAGACGCGATTTTTTTTTTTTTTTTTTTTAAGGAATGTATGTACTACTCAGTACTTCAACCTGACATAATCTATTTCTGTAGTGAAGAGCAAACTGTGAGGTAAAATACAGTAAACCTGGAACCATGAAGGGCTTTTTTGATAGTGTTTGCCTAGGAGGTCGAACGATCTTCTGTAATTCTGGTAATATATTTATAAATCATCAAAATTTAACATTAGGTAGAAGAGTAATAAACAGGATTCTTTCCTGTTCATTTACACTACAGTTTTACTAACAACAAATATCTAGTTTAAATATCTTATATAATCTGTAGGCTAGCATGACAAATATTTGATAATAAGCATACCTGAATACTTTATTCATGCAAATTACACACAATCAAGTTAAAGGCAGAACATAAAAACTTAGTCTGTAGATTCCATAAATTACCATATACTCCATTATTATTTAATTAATGTGGAATGCATCTTTAATAACAGCATGAAGATTCACTTTGTTTTATGGAAGTAACTGACAATCATGGGTGTCCTAATGTTTATAGTATACGTGTACATCTATTTTTGACACTTATCACTGTGAACCACACTCATCTTACATACTGAAAAATAATTTGGAGGCTCTAGAGACTATTCCTAAAATGCAAAGTAAAGGAAAAAATAATCTATAAACATTAAATCAAAGAAGAGAGAGAAAAAAGAAAATTTAATTAAAACCGTATGACAGAAATATTTATTTTATGATTGAATATTCAAAATACAATCATAGTACTTTCAAGTACAGCATTTTGAGGAAATTTTTTCATAATCTGGTATTCATTATAAAGTGTACCTTCTAAGTTCTAGCTGACTTTGGGAACCATTAAAAGTGTCTGGTACTATCGCATGTAAGATCTGGATTTAAGTTTTTCACTTACTCTTTGGCTTCTTAAATCTGATCTGAATCCATTACAGAAGAATAGCCTTAAGTCTCAGGGAGTATGTACTTTTAGTCACCTAGAAGCAAATTTCCTTGTTTACTACAATTTGACTTCATTTTGGTCTTTTTCAATCAGAGACATTACAAGTAAAGTTTCTGAGTCTCTTATTCACTGTGACATATTCACTTACTTATCAATATTCATGATTCTCATTGGATTTATAGATAACCTATGATATTTGCTTATTCTCTCTTCTGATTTCTGTCCTGTGGACAATTACCTGGTAACTAATAATGAAACTCAAAATGATTAGATCTGCATTTCTATAACTTTGGTTAAAGATTTTATAGAAGATTAAATCATCATTCAAGCACTTTTTAAAAATTATCCTGACAGAATGAAAATCTGCTGTACTATGAATCTGTAAATTTATACTGTAAAGAATATAAACTTCTGACTAACTTTTAATACAGTGCCCCATATGCCTGGGTACTTAAATATTTAAGAAGGCCGAGATAAAAGAGGAGGAAATAGACTAAATTGACTCACAATGTAAAACCCAGTGACACAAAAGACGTCTCCTTATTCAAAGACGATAGTAAGAAAGAAAGCGGCAAGAGTACCTACCTGTACATCTAGCTTCATCTGCCTGAGCTTCAGGCCCCAGGATTTCTTGTCTTTCCTTTCCTGCTGAAAGACAGATTCCAAAGAACAAGGGATTAAAATAAATCTATGTGTCGCAAACATTTTAACTATTAGAATTCTGAAAAGGAAACTTTCGGTATAGATGATATTTCATTTGGATTTTCCCTCTCTTACCAATATGGTAATGTGTCCTTGAAAGTAAAACTTTAAAATGAAATTCAGCAGTTTTACCGCAGTCACCAACATATCTTAAGAGAAGGGAAATTACTACAGATTTATATACAATTTTGGAATTACATGTGTCCTGGGATTTTATTTTTTAGGAGAGGAGCTCTACCTACAGTTAACAGATTCTTTCATTTCCATTTCTTCCCCTAAACACACATTTCTATGTTCTAGGCACTGAGCTAGATGCTTTATAAACTTATTTCCTTTAGTCTTCATTACAATCTATTTTGTAAGTTAAAAAAACAAACGAGACAAAACTTGAGCCTTGGAGAGGTTATGTAACTTGTCCAAGGTCATACAGCTATCAGGTGATAGGGGTGGCTCTGCTTTCCACTATACCCTTGCCTGTCTAACTAGAGTACCAGAAAACTGGAAGGAAGATCGGACCGAATTTCACTGTGCCCAGAATGAACACCTAAGGCACTATACATTTGCTTTCATGCTATTCATTATTCTTTCATGCTATTCATTATTCTAACTATTGATAGATACTACAGGTACTGATATACCATTTTAGATGTCTATTCTTTGCCCCTGCTGCCTCTATGTATATAATGGGTTAATTGTAGTATTTCATACAGAACAGTGCAGTCCCTGGGTCATAAAAAGGGTTAATATGCCTGGCTGCTAACTGAAAGGTTAGAGGTTGGAGTCTACCCAGAGATGTCTCAGAGAAAGACCTGGCAATCTACTTCCAAAAAAAAACAAAAAAAAAAAATCAGTCATTGAAAACCCTATGGAACACAGTTCTACTCTAACACATGTGGGGCTGCCTAGACAGTAACGTTTTTTTTTCTTTTTAAAATATACAGAATAGGTGCAGAGTAAATACTCTATATACTAAGTAAATATATATGTTTTGGCAAGCAGAAAAGTATCCTTTATATATTCCGGTACATTTTCTTATAATAGTAGTTTATTAAGAACCTGTGCATACATGAAAGACATTAAGGAATTAAAACAGCTTCTCTTTTCCAACTAGTAAAGAATAGATATCATAATTATAATCAGAATACTTATAAAGTCATACTAACACACAGTGTAGTTATCTGCAAGCCCAATCAAATCCCATTAAATATGTCAGTCAAAAATCTTGATTTAGGCTTCTCCTAAGTTTGTTTGTTGAATTGAAAACCAGAGCACTAACCAAGTGAAGTCTCTGCATTGAGTTAAAGTATGTATTTCTGCAAGTTTCTTGGATTATCAAGTGGATTTATTCAGCAGATCTTCTTTGCTCATTAATTTTTATATTAGTACTTAAGGATTATCACTGTAAGAAAAACAGTTAAAATACACACACATCTTTACAGATCAACAAACAACACTGCTGAAGTAGATGATGACGAGACTAACATCTACTGAGGACCCCTCAGACGTGCCATCAGCGAGATGACAACTGAAAAATCCCTACTACAGAGTGTACGGTACTGCCAGATAAACACCAGTGTTGGCCAAGTATCTATAAATCTCTAACAGCCTTTGTGTTCATTGTTTTTCCTCTCTCCAATGCATCTACTTACACTAAAATAAAAAATCAGTGTGCCAATTAGGTAATTATATGATGGTAATATAATTACTTATTATTGTTTATCTATGTCCTTTATTTCTCCTCAAGGGAAAGTCAAAGCAGCCACAGATACTCCTTGCTAAGATGGAAGATGATACTGATATTAAAGGTTAAAACTTTGGACATTATTAACTTCTCTGCTTGTAGTTATTATAATACTTAATTGACAAACTATGTGCAATTCAATTAAGCAAATGACTGATATATTCATTTCTTCATTCCTTCATCACTGCTTAGGATAAAGTCTAGGCTCCTTAGATGAGTGTATGCTTCCGAATCTGGTCCCCGACTTATCTCCCACAACTTAAACACTGGAAGTCTCGATTCTTTCCCTCATTATTGGGGTCACAATTTTAGTTGAACAACTGAAACCATATTGCCTAAGGAAAACAGGACTATACTAATGCTGTAATGTGAACACAGTGTCACTGCAAGAAGTACTGCCCAGGAATAGGTTCCTTTCTGCTTCATCCCTGAATTACATGAGGAATAGTGCCCAGGAATAGGTTCCTTTCTGCTTCATCCCTGAACTACATGAGGGAATAGTGCCCAGGAATAGGCTCTTTTCTGCTTCATCCCTGAATTACATGACGGAATAGTGCCCAGGAATAGGCTCCTTTCTGCTTCATCCCTGAACTACATGAGGGAATAGTGCCCAGGAATAGGTTCCTTTCTGCTTCATCCCTGAACTACATGAGGGAATAGTGCC